TATGTATGTGTGTGTGTGTGTGTGTGTTGTTTGTGTGGGCGAGTGCAATCCCGTTTGCTCGTTTTTTTGGTTGAATGGGTCCTTTCCCTCTTGTTTGTTGAATATTGTGAATATTGTGAATTTTTGTATTTCCATGTCCTTTCATATTTTTTAATTTGTTGTTTAGTGTTTTTATTTGTTGTTTTTAGGTTTGTTAAATGCCCCAAAATATTTTTAGTCCCCACGAATTTTTTTTTTTTCACGATGAATCCACGATGAATCCACGATGAACCCAAAATGGGCTCAAGTAATTTTGCAAACGAGTCTTAAAGGACATTTTGTGTTTTAATGATAATAAATTGTTTATTAAATTTGGATATAATGTATTATGTGAACTGGATTTTGGCTAGTTAGCTAGTTAGCTATCGTCTACAAAATTAAGAGCAATTATATTCCACTCAATTATATTGGCTATAGGATTCTAATTGCATTAAAAGTTTTAAGTCTGAAAAAAGAAAATTTTATTCAAAAGCTTCGAAATTGATTGTAAATTATTGAAAGACTGTAGCTTTTGTAGAATTGTGATACCAGAAGAAAGTATTTTGGTACACGACTATCATTCAAAGCAGTAACTAAAGAAAGAAATAGTTCTAATTTCTGAAGAATTATTAAATTTCAAGAAAGTATTCCGGTTGAAGGTCTTTCTATAAATTGGTAAGCAATGATAGAAGGAGTTCTAATTCTCGAAGCATTATTAAACTTCAAGAAAGTATTCTGGTAGACGGTCTTTTTATACGTCGGTAACTAAAGAAAGAAGTAGTTGTAATTCTTATAGAATTATAAGACCTGATCAAAGTATACTAATAGACAGTCTCTCTATAAATCTGTAACCAATGATAGAAGGATTTTTAATTCTTGAAAAATTGTTAAACTTCAAGGAAGTATTCTGGTAGACGAACTTTTTATAAGTCGATAACTAATGATAGAAGGAGTTGTGACTCTTGGAAAATTATTAAACTTCAAGAAAATATGGTACTGTAGCAGTCATCTGCTTTAATAAGATGGCTCCTAAATAAATGAGAGAAGCAAATAATAAATGAGATTACTTTTAAATTTTATTTTTGATATAATCCTACTTGAGAAGTTTCCCAAGCTTTTATTTCTTCAAGTTTGTAAAGTATATATTTGTTACAAAGTTGAATTTCAGCTTTGATTGATAACGGTTTATTAACGGTTTATTATCCTTGAATATATAAAGGTTGAAGCTGATCTGAACGTAAGCAGACTACATATCAAACTGTACACGGAACTGCTTGAAAACAAAAGAGAAAAGTCCTTTATTAAAATGCTAAGTAGGTACTTTCTATTCGATTTATATATGAATATATGTATATATATGTGAAAACTTGCAATTAAAACAAAGAAATCATCATATTCTCTATCTTTATGTAACATACTTCGCTTTCTCTCTCACTCTCCTTCTCCTTCTTGCTCTCTTTTTCTCTCTCTCTCTTTCTCTCTCTCTTTCTCTCTCTCTCTCCTTCTCTGTCAAATTAGAAAAGTTTTCATATTCATAAAATGCGCTAGACTTAACCTATCCGATAAGACTAAAGTTTAAAGAAATATTAAAATAATATTTTAAAACTTATTAAATGCAGTTATCATCGGCTTATATATATATAGACCCTACTAAAAAGAATTGCAACTTAAAGCAAAAGCAGCAATCTAGAATATTCACAAGAATTTTATTTTGTGAATGCCTTCAGTGAGACGTGACATGTTATTTAAATTAAAAAAGGGACCCTTGAAACTCTATTGTCAATATGGAGGGTCAATTTAGTTAGGAAAAAAGGCTTTAATTTTGACTGCCTTTTAAAAATCAAGTACAGATTCAACAGAAATTGTGGTTTGTTGAAAGTGTAATATGTAAATTGCCCCATAAAATAGGTGTAGTATTTTTCTAAAAGTTCGGAAGGAATGAGGTTAAAGAAAATGGTTAAAATTTGAGGCCGTTTACACTTTAGTGTAACTTTTAGTTAAAAGCGGAATGTTTTGATGTAATGAAATTACCATTAAATAATATTTCATCCTTTTCAAAAAAATTGCTATGCAGGATCGCCCGCCATGTACAAATAAGAGAAAATTAAAGCAAAACAAATTGTGTCCCCAAATGACCTGAAACAAGAGTTCCCAAGTGAAACTAAGCAGGCAGGGCAGCAAGTGTTGGCGTTGTTTAAACGACGACGAGTCCTGCTACGTTTCGTCACAGGACCATGTGGTCGTGTTAGCTGGCTGGCGGCAAACTGATATGAAACCTTTTTAGCCATTTTATGATTCCACACCACCGGAGTAAGTGCGCCATTTTTTATACATAATAAATTTGTATTTGTGTATTGTATTTTGGGAAATGTGTTTACATGAATATATACATATGTGTGTGTGTATGCAATTGTTTGTGTGTTTGTGTGTTTATGTGTTTGTGTGAAGTTGTTATTATGTAACGTATAATGCCTTTTAAGCAGAAAATTTATTAGTGTAAAATTTGGGGAAACTATTTTAATGTGAGCAAATATAATGGGCATCCAAGGCAGGTGCAGGTGACGCTTGAAGGTACTCCCAAGTGGCAATTAGTGTTAAGTTGCTGCTGCTAACAAAACGGTCAGGTAATAAATTTCCATTCACACATGTAAGTGTTTTCATAGAGGTAGAGAATAGCGTTTTATGAGTTTTATGATTAAAAGACCCGCAGCTAATTCGTCAGAATTGCACCACTTGTTGTCATGCCTATACCTAGATCCTATCAGCCTCTCATTCAATTTTTTAAGGTTTTGTAAAATTTTTTTTTTTTGTTTTTAATGACAGATTAAATAAACTTTTATCCATAAAGCTTGGATTGCCCTTTTTTAATAGTCTATTCATACAAATTTAATTTTTGTTATTTTTTAACACTTTTACTCTTACGCAGCATTTACCATTAGGCTAATAAAACTAGAAGTCTATGCCAACAATAATACAAAAATGACAAATCATTCATAAAGTTACTACTATTAAATGTATCCATTAGTTTTTTCCAGTTTTTTGTGGTAAAGAAAACACCACAAAATTATCAAATTATTAGCTATCAGCTTCCAAACATTTCGCCCGTCTTTCAAGAAATTTTTGCATATCATGTCAGAAATATTGCTTATCTTTTGCGGTCAATGTTTCGTCGAGCCATTTTCGAACTTCCTTGAAATTGCTGAACTGCTGCTCGGCGAACGCTTGCTCCATTGTTGCAAACTGGTGATAGACAGATAGCGCCAGATCTGGAATACTCGACGGGTGCGAAAGATGGTCCATCAAAATCATTTCAAAGTTTTGCTGTGTGAGACGTAATTATTGTGTAAGAAAATTATTTTGGCATTTCTTTTGGCTCAGATGGTGCTAGGTCTGGAGAGTATGGTGGGTGTGGAATGATATACTATCAAAATGATTTTAAGTTGTCTTTCACTGTAACAAGATTACTTTGCTATGCCTTTTGGCTCAATCCGATCGTCCTACGATCAATGTAAACCAATAATTTGTTGGCGTTAGCATTGTGTATGAACAGTTTTGTGGCGCTTGAGGAGTTTCTAATATGCTATACCGCTTTGGTTCTACAAGACACAAAACATGGTCTTCTTACTGAAGCAATTCGGTCTTGGTGTTGAGAAACTGGCTTCACCAGGTGAGAAAACCGGAAACACCTGGTATATATTTTATTTTTAAGTCTTTTATGTTCAGCAAGTGAGGAACAAAAAAACTTTCAGCCATATTGGTCTCAATGAATCCATTTTAACACTAAATTTTAATAATTCGATGGTCTACATTGACGTCTTCAGTATTCAATTGAATTTTTTTTATGTAGAATTAAAAAATAACCCAACTATTTGCTTTTATCGAGCATTTAGTATTTGTCATGTTTGAGATATTACTTAATTGTTACGCTGCGTCCATTGATGTACTATTCCACTGCATCGAGCATCAACTTTTCATCTCAATATTTAAAGATTTATATATTTTCAAAATTAATTAAAATTTCTATTAACATTTATTTATATTCATATAAAAATCTTATTTATATGTTGCACATATCTGAATCTCTTGCGCCCCTAATAAACTATGAGCATAGTACACCCATGGTTGTCATAATTTCCGAAATCAGAATATCACAAATCGGCATACGTCACTTTTTAATTAAGTTAAGTGAAAACATATTTTCAAAACACTTGAGCTTATCAATAAGACCCTGCTGCCAGTATGTCTGCCAATCTACCAGTTAACTAAATAGCACAATTTAACATCCCCCAACTTAAGATCCCGCCCGTATGCTTCGTGCTATCCAACTGCCTAAACACTCAACCATACCACCATAACACCATACCACCATTCCACCATTCATCCATCAGTATTCGCGTTAAGAGAAGCGAAAGCACATTCTTTAAGCAAAAACTTAAAGTCTAATTAACGGTGATAAAAGCAAATCTTACGCACATAATATGCCAAATATGCTTAAAAATTTGTTAGTACACTTGAGAGTATCTGTGAGCGTTTCCATTTGCGTTCGTATTTGAAGTTGTGTATCCCTTTGAATGCAGCCTTGGAATATTTTGCAATTAAGTTTAATTGAAAATTTTCACTTCGAAATATGACAAAAACGTGCCGAAACACAAGAACGCCACCGTTCGCCGTCATTTCCTTCATCATCAACAGCAGCAGTACGTCAGATCACGAAAGCGAATGAAAGCACTTGTACGGCCGAGTCCCAAAATCCCCTTTGTCTGATTATGGCAAATGAAGAGACACGCGATGCGTTAGCACCAACAAAATCGGTAGGGTAAAATTCTAAAAGAATTTTTCTAAATAGATTCATTCGAAAGGCTTATTTTGAAATGGTGGCATGACGGACACGGGCAAGTGCGAGCAAGTAATCGACTTCATTACAACAAACAACTCGCGTTCACTCCATCTTAGATCTTTCGGTCCCATCAAATACCCACTACCTGCATATCACTTTCATCTTGATTGCTTTGGACTATGGTAGTGCCTCTTAGTGCTGATGTCGTTGAAATCGTTGTTATCGTTGGCAATGTTGGCGATGTTGGCGATGTTGAAGCCGATGCCGATGCCGATGTCGATGGCGTTGACATTGTTATTGACTTTGGTGTCGATAGTATGCTCAATAGCAAAACTTATACATTGTAACTTTATTCTTTGCCATAAACTGTACTCTTTGAGTTCTGACTTACACTTTTCCAGTGACATTAATTAGTATTTGACAGTGCTGCAAAATGGCAATAGGAAGTTGGAAAGGAAACTTATCTATAGAAAATTATGTTATTAGTTAACGAACTAATTGAACACCACTGGCGGCATCAGACCAAAGTTAACTTTAGTGTTTAAAAGCTGCAGGAAAGTGTTAATGATATATGAAAGTTGTTAAAACTATTAAACTTTTAGAATTAAATCATTTAAATGCTTAGAAAACGGAAACCATTTGGTTTAAATTTAGTTTTTTGCAATTAAATTGATTTTAAGTATTCTTTTTGACGTTCAAGCTTAGATTTTAAAGGAGCTTCCTGAATCTTTCTACAGGTCGAAATTTTTCTTATTAAATGATTTAAGAGGAACTTTCATAAGAACAAAGATGTTATAGTCTAAGATAGTTTTACTAAATTTAAAAGTTAAAGTTATGATTTGTTCAACTTTTTAATATAACATATTAATATTGATCAAATTGTATTGTATAATTATTGAAAAAAAAAACATTATTTTTTTATTATAAATTTACAGTCATTAACATTAATATCTACTTAATTTATATCTTAATTTCATAATATATTTATAGTATATTATGTAAATTAATATTAATATATTAAATTAATGTACTTAAAATATTACTAACCATATATAGACAAGGTTTAAAAACAAAAAAATAAATTAAAAATTTAAATGAACTTAACTTATATAGCTGTAGTTTATGCGTTAGTTTTAACTATTAAATTAGCAAGTTTAATTGATACAAAAGAGGTGTAAGTTGGTTTCGTTTCTTAAGCTTCAGGTCTCCGCTTCAAATGTGAGAAACCCAAATTCCTGAATTCCGCTTAGAGTCTTAAAATTACAAATGGACAATTGAATCATGAGATATTTCTCAGGACCACTGATAAATATTTGAAGATGATGTTGATTGATTTATTTAAATTTGCCTAGATTTAAAGTAAATCTAACTTAGTGTGATTTCTTGTTCATATATATAAAACAGATGAAATGCGCAAATATAACATATATAACCCTGATAAACGTTGTGTTAAACTCTAGAAGATTTTTGTTCTTATATATAGATTCTTCCTGAATCACGACATGCGGTTAGACTGGGACGTAATTAAACTGTAATCAGCTGTAATATAAAAGGACTTATATATGTAAGATGAATTATTCTATTTATTGACAAAGTAAATTATAATGCAAAATACAAGCTAATAAACTAAATTTAATTAAATTCACAAAATTCCGTAACCGAACGCAACTGCACTACTACTCTTACCGCTACTTTACGAAAGCCTCCATCTTCACGACCACATTGACCACCTACTATCACGACCTACTATCATGACCACCACTGGCGTTGCCAACTGTTTACATATATGTATGTATATATATATATATATATATACATATATATGTATATGAATATATGTACGCATTTCGAATAAACAACGGAGTAAAGTAAACACTAAACACTAAACATTAGTAAACACTAAAAAATGTGTCTTCATTATAGATTAAATGTATACGAAGGTTAATTGTTCATCAGCTGATTTATGTTAGCATGACTTGCGTACGCTAATGTGAAAACTATTGAGTTAAAGTGCAACTGGAATCAATTTCATATTTATTATTATTATTCTTTTCTTTTCGAATTATAGTTAAACATGTTTTGTGCTTAAATAAATACAATCAGTAAATTAATTACGATATGCAAACAAGCAAATACAGAATGTAATAAATTTCGACTAAACGTTGAAACTCCGGAACCCAGCGAGGTAAACATTGTAATTACGACATTAAATCAAGTCAACTTACTCCAGAGCATATGTACATGTGCGAATGTACTCCACACTTCTCTCAGTACTTAATGCTGTACTGTATGCACACGAATTTTAGTGTTTGTGTGTTCGTTAAGTAAACTCGAGTGAAAAGTAGTGAACACAATGTCAAATCATTACCACAATTGCTGGCATTGCTTTCCAAGAAATTTCACCTGACATCCAAATACCACATCAAAGTGTGTTGCTGTCGTTGACGACGTCTCCATTGTTGGTAAAATTTCATCGTCGTCGTCGTCGTCGTAGTCGTTGCTATTCTTGTTGTTGTTGTTATTCATGTTGTTGTTGCTGTTGTTGCTGTTAGTGTTAGTTGTAAAGTAATGTATTTATGGTTTGTTGAAGACTGTCATATACTGTCATGATTCTCAATGTCGATGTATATGTATATGTTATAGGAGTATGCATAAATTGCATGTGTGTGCATTTTGTTATGAGAAGCTCTCATTATTCATAGAATTAGGCTGCTACTTTCGCTGTAAAGTTATGACAAAGTTAATAACATTATTTTAACAAAGTTCTACTTGTCTTCATCGCACATGCAGGTAACCCGTTAGCCCGTCAACCCGTCAACCCGTCAACATGGTTAATAGCACACATATGCATATCTGAGACTAGAGTACTATTCCTACACACTAAAGGAACTCGCTTAGTGTTAGTGTTTGCAAGTAGTATTTTTTTGCCTTTGCTCTTTTTTATCCGAAATATTGTCATTTTTAATTATTTTAAGTTTTTTCAGTTTCCATTATTTTTGCATTATTTTTGCATTGTTTTTGTATTTTTTGTTATTGTTATTGTCACGTTTTTACATAATTTTTTACTAACTACTCGAGATCGTAGTGAATATATGAGTGAAGATAGGAGGAAGAGGGAAAAGTGAAACAAAAAAAGAAAAAAGGCGTCATCTTTTTTGACATTAGTAAGATTTAAGAGGGATTAAAAAAGATACCCGAGAGCGTCAGTTAAAGATAATTGCATGTGCTAGTGTATGGAAGGTTGCCACACTCCAACAATAACTAACATCCGCACATATATCGGCGGCGCTCATGCACAATGTTTTCCCTCATGAAGTGGAAACGTTGGCTCTGTTATTTCAGCTGTGGAATCCGAAGTCGTGTTTTTTATGGTTGTAGACACTTTAACACTTCATAAATTTCATATATTAAAACTTTAATGACATAAAATTTCATTGTAAATTTCATATATTTTTATATTTTTACATTTTCCAGTTACTTTACTTCTCGTTGAATTTAGTAAATGAAGAGAATGTGCATATGATACATTATATTCTGTCAATGGGACTTCTGAAGTGAACGACAGGGATGTTAAGAGAGATGATTTCAATGTAATACCACGGCTGTCATATTTACAGAAGTGATATTTAGAACTGTGCTTAATAATAATTAAACTGATTAAAATAGGATATGAGTATACCTGTCTTTATATACTTATCACCAATAAGGAATCTAAATATAAAGAGACGTGTTGGATGTTTATAACATAAGAAAGAGTAGTGGGCTATTGCATTATCTTATTTGGCAGTAAGTACCAAGTACTTGAAGTTGGCAATCTTACCGTACTTGGTTATGCTCAGTGGATATAATATAAGAAAGAGTAGTTGGTATTCTCAGGATAGTTAGCTACGCTTGGTGGTCATAATATAAGAAAGAAGAGTTGGTAGTCTCACCATCTTACGTATTCTTGTGCTAACAAATCTTAAATGAAACATTCGTTCGCATTATTCCTGCCGCGCGTTTTTGCTGCTTTATATCTATGTTGGGGTCTAAAGTGAATACACTCAGAAAAATAATTTGGTTGATTTAATCTGATTTTAACTAAATCTCAGGTTAAAGTATTTTTACTTGGCGCATCATATTGATTCAACCACAACACATATTGGTACTCATATCTTCATTACGACATGACCTAAAATTTTTCTAACAAATTGACAAGGTCAATATAACTACTATATGATTACAGCATATTTTTCTGAATGTAGTCAGAAAGTGTACACTTCGTCGCACACTTAAACCTAATAATGCATTAATGAAAGTCGTCTGGAGAAAGCAAAAAGTAGGCTGTGTTTAATTCGAAATAAAAGTAAAAAACCAGAGGTAATCGATATGAGGTATTATAATTACCTTGGTATTCCGATATTGAATCACTTATTTCTCTCTTTGATAATTAATTGCAGTTGTATTATACGCAAAATGGTATTCTAGTTTGTGATCTACCCGGATGAACTCAATAGAGTTGGATTGTATTTGTATAAAAATTAAGTACCATATTTGAAGTTATTCTTTCTTTTATTTGATGATCACTGATGTAGATACTACTAAATTTCTAACAAATTGTGCACTCCTTTCTCATGCATTGAGGAAGACAACCGATAATTTTTTTTTTTGATCAAGAAATCTAAATAATTATGTTGGGTTAAAATATGAAAAGGTGTGCTTAGGATATACTAACAGGTACTCTTAATACTATCTATGGAGAATTGAATGTCAAGATAAAATACAGCAATTAAAGACGACTACAGATATGTTTTCATTGAGTTTAAGCGACTGGATACTTATAAGAAACTTCAACAATTACTCTGGTGTTAAGAGAGAATACAATGCAAGAGCAAGAGTTGAACTTCAAGATAAAGTATATCCAATAGGAAAGACTACAGGCCACTTTTTTGTTAACTCTGAATGAATTGGTGCTTTATACTGATTAGCTAAAATATGAAAAAATCACGAAATATTTTAACACGAAGCTCTTCTAACATATACAATACAATGCTGGGCAAGGGACTTAATATCGCTGTAGAATACATCTGGGTAAAGCTTTTCTAAAAACTTATTGAGTCGATGTGGTTGGGCATCTTAAAAAATTGGAACAGGCCTTATTGGTTATTAAGGAACAAATATTATTCGGAAATATTTAATATTTTCAAATGGCTTCAAATAATTATTCCCATTAAGACATCATTCTATGTAAAATAACTATAATAAATTATTTGTGTCTTATAAATAAAAAATTGTATCCCACACTAGTACTAA